CAAAAAATTTTTATATAAGGATCAAATTATTTCCCCTATAATATTCCTATATCAGAATTAATAATTAGGTTAGGATATAGGGTGGCCTTAGGGAACCTACTCCATAGGATACAAACCTTTAGGTTACCACTTGGGAATACCTAGGATAAATTAGGGTATACTTAGGGACACCGGGCTGGGACATGAGGTGGGTTTAGGAACACGGGGCTGAGACATGGGGGGGGAGTAAGAAATCCTTGGGGACCCTTGGTCTGGGACATGCTGTGTAAGGGACCAAAAGCAAACCTGTTTATATTTAGGCAAATAATCCATCAGACAAATGCCCGCTAATTCTTGGATAATATCTGGTTATTTAATTTATTCAAATTAACAACCCGTACCGAACTTCTGCGTTGTCCGCGTTGTCGTCGTTGAGCACGCTTTGTGTTTGGCCATAACATTACATTCAAGTAGCTTGCCACATGTTCCTAATACGTTGTAAACTCTTCTTCAAGTAACTTGCCAAATGTTCCTAATACGTTGTAACATCTTCTTCTAATGACTTGCAACACGTTCCTGATACGCTGTGAAATGTTCAGCAAGTAACTTGCAAGACTTTCCTGGCACGTTGTCACATCTTCTTCAAGAAACTTGAAAGATGTTCCTTATATGTTGTAACATCTTCATCAAGTAACATGCAAGACGTTCCTGATACTTGCAACATCTTCCTACTTGTCATTAACTTGCACGACCTTCCTGATAGGTTGTAAACTTTTCTTCAAGTAACTTGAAAGATGTTCCTTATATGTTGTAACATCTTCGCCAAGTAACATGCAAGACGTTCCTGATACTTGCAACATCTTCCTACTTGTAAGCACATAGCTTGCACGACCTTCCTGATACGTTGTAAACTTTGCTTCAAGTAACTTGCCAGATGCTCCTGATACGTTGTACCATCTTCTCCAAGTGACTTGCAACACGTTCATGATACGTTGTGAAATCTTCTGCAAGTAACTTGCAAGACGTTCCTGGCAAGTTGTCACAGCTTCGTCAAGAACCTTGCATGATGTTCCTGGTCTGTTGTAACATCTTCGTCCAGTAACATGCAAGACGTTCCTAATACGTTGCATTATATTCCTCAAGTAACTTGCAAACTGTTCCCGGTATGTTCTCAACTCTCCGTCAAGGCAGTTGAAATACAGTCGTGATACGTTGTAACATCTTCTTATTCATATGATTGAATGAAAATGTCCTGATGATCATCTCTGTCACACATGTACAAGCCTGTTGAAGTCATGTTCAAATACATCTATATATATTTCTATTGATATTGTAGTCATATATCACAAACTTAGGCCTAAGCGAGCCAAAACGTAGGCCTAAGCGAGGGACTGACCCTACTAGTTCATATCTACTAGTTTACTAGTTCATATGTCTCACATTGCATGGTGTATTCATGTACCACATCATACCACCTCCCCATACATGAGCCACAAGGTCCACGATACCGTGTCCAACTCTGAAGATTACATGATTACACTAAACAAGAGGAAAACCAATTCCAGGACAACGGTTTCGAAGTTAAACAAGCCATCAATTAGCACCAATTCCGAACACATAGAAGTCCAAACCATATAGAAGTAGACCACTTTCAAATCCAATTCAAATAGAAGATATTGAGGAATATTTCAATTTGTTGTTGCAATGTTGTCTCAGTTCTGGGTTCCGGATGGTGATGCTGGTCTTCCTTGGAGCCCGTTTTACATATTATCTTCTATATGATCTGTTCTGGAGGTAAATAGACTGTACAATTCATATAGAAGTTGAATTTCCTGAATATATTCTATCCTTGATGACCGTATTATAGATGTATTAAAAAGATCCAGGGACCCCAGGCCTGTGTTTGGCCTCATCTCTCTTTGGATGGGGAATCTGTTTGGGGTGGTTACTAGTCACATGTCAACATTACCAGAGATTTATGATAGCATCAAACCTCCTTTGATGATAACACAATGTAAAATATGTAAATATCAGTTTTTTTTGAGTTTCTAGTTTTTGGAGCAAACATAACTCCCCTGCCCGTTCTGTATTCATACCGCTAGGATCGGCAGTTGTCTCCAGCTGTAGACATATCCTTCTAAACACGTGTCCCGTCGTTTTAAATTTCATTTTCTTTTCGACACGCACTGACTTGTACTTCAGTGAGACTGTTTTTGGACTTCTTCGCGCATGTTTTTAAAGTTGTCAGCTTGAGGCAGCTAGCCAAAATGTCCCAACAATGTGACTTTGAAACGTCCCAATGATCAGTGTCCGCAATGAAAGAGGCAAACGCTTCAGCTGAAACAGCTGACATCTCAGCATCAAGCTTTACCCGCGATTCAAAGTGTCGAGCTGTCAAGCTGCGCGAGGCACATGTGGAGCCACAAATTGAAATTCTTCTGTGGTACATCTCCAAGATGGTGCAACCATACTCTGCCGGAGAGCTCGTGGAACAACGTAAACCTCCTCAAAAAGGTGCCTCTCTGCACATCGGCAGTCTAGGCGACCAGACCCCTTGAGCGCATTCCAACTTCATCCAAACGAAGAGCTATGGCACGTGCTACCGCGACACCAAAGCTCTGACCCATCAAAATCATGTCCAGATTTCCGCTTTGTCTGGCCTTCTCAAGAGAATACCAAAGAATATGATCGATACACGAGCCACCGAGTCGCAAGACCTCCTCAACCGGAGCACTTACGACAGTTTGGCCAGGGAATGTTTTTGCAATTTTGGAAGCTACGCATGGTTTGCGAAGGCGCGCCCCTCCCTCAAGTGCAAGCAGGGTAGGAAGGCATGGCCCACGGGTCAGTGTGGTCTGTGCAGCACAGCCACAGCTTGCCTGGGGATACTCGGGAACTGTTGCAGTCCGAAGGGCGGGATGCCAACGCCTGCCAAACTTCTTCAACCCTCCAGGTCCAGCAGCTTCAAGAATCTTCAAACCTATGAATATTTAGGAGCTTCTCTGACAGCCTTGCCCTTGCAAATGCAGCTCTTCTTCAGCAAGCTTGGAGAAGCACTTATCGTGGCAGATCTTAATGTGCTAGCCATTTGATGCCATTCGGTGGTGAGATGTTGGGGTTCTTAAGGATTGATTTTTGAAAGGGATTAGATCAAATCCCCTCAAACATGAAAGGGAGCTAATTACACGGATTATGATTAAGGCTTAATTAGGGTCTCTGATCTTTTGGCACCAAGTGACATCGCCTGTTGTTCTTGCAACAGTTGCTTCTGGATGCTGGGCACGTTTTATACAAAAAGACATGGCAAAGGTGGCATCATCAGGAGCTATGATATTCCTTTCCACAGAGGCTGCGCCCATGGCTCCTCAGCCTTTTAACAGACGTGGCTCTTGCACAAAAATTGCTATTGACCATGAGAGGCTCCCACAAGGTCTGAAGTACTTTCGCTTGCATGTGCCTGATGTTCATCAACTGGCTCCGGCGTCTTCCAGCAACGCCAGGCTTAAGCAACATTGAAGTTTCAATGTTTCAGGGTTCACCTGAAAAAATATATCTATATCAAGCCCTACTTCTTTCATCTTCTTTTCATCCGAAATCTCTTTCGTGTGATGGCATGTGAAGCCGCAAGGCAACGGCTTCAACAATTTTATAAGCGCGGTGCTCACAGGTCAAGCTTTGCAGGCTTGACCGAAAAACAATCAATAACCTCACCGTAAGTTATGCCGCTTTGTGAAGGACCCAGGTGATTTTCAAACCAACCGACCTCAGTCGGCTTGCTTTATTGATCAATGGCTGGCAAAGTGTGCACAAAGCCAGATGTCTCCCACCTTTTAGGCAGTTTTTAGGCAGAAAAACTGGCTGTCGCAAATTTCAGACCGAAAAAGTTGCCTACGTGTGCTGTTCTTTCTGGGCGCTCTTCTCGCAAGAAATTACACAAAGGTACCAACAAGCTTGGCGTGAGTGATATGCGCAATGAAAGGGCATCGTCTTTTTCCTTCAATCGGAATGCAAAAGCCAAAGGAGACATCTTAAGTTTCGCATGCAGGGCTGCACTACAAGTGTTCAGAATACCAGCTAGGTCTCTCTCTCCATCACTGTCACCTAGCCCTAGCTTTGCCAGAAAGCAAGATACCAGCTAGGTGGCGGTGAGCACAATTCTAGGAAAGCAACCTGCCATATCTACTGTTGAGTTCAAGCGATCCAAGATTTCAAGCTTTTTTTCAGGGGCGAAAAAAGAGCACCAGCTGGCAGCTCTGCCGTGCAAATCCTGGCCACACTTTCAACCCTTTCAGCGTGTTCCAGGTTCCATATGGTTTCACTCTGTTTCAGTGTGTTGGACTTGCCTTTGGAATCGCGTGGGGCACATCTTGCCAGCCCACCACGCCTTTGCAACAGCACGCGGAGCAAGACTACGTTTGGTAAAGGCACCCACACGATGAAGCGAAGTGAACAGATTTTGGTTTTGCAGTCATGCTGGCGAAGTCAAAGGCAGTCTACCTAGGGCCTGGCATTCAGCAAGTGCGGGTTGAATGCGGGCAACGAGGCCAGCCAATAAAAACGGAAAATAGAACTCAAGAAGGAACTGGCAGCCAGAGGGTCTGATTTCAAGCTTTTGAACATCCCGCAGGAGTTATTGTGACTTATGACATTGGGTTGGGAAACCTAGGGTGACAATACCCTGACCTGAATCGGGGACTGGCAGTGTAAGCGTGAAACTTCTCCTCTAGCTTCCTCTTGTTCTGGCAGTTCACAGACATGCATGGCAAAAACTGCAGGTACCATGTCACTGGATCATACTGGATCTAACACCTGGACAAACTTGAGTGATTTCCTATTCCAATGTCCCAAGCACACCAGCAAATCCTTGGATTTGAGGGGCCTGGTTGAGAAAGGTACTGACCATGAGGGGCTCCCACAAGGTCTGAAATACTTTTGCTTGCATGTGCCTGATGTTCATCAACTGGCTCCGGCATCTTCCAGCAACGCCAGGCTTAAGCAACATTGAAGTTTCAATGTTTCAGGGTTCACCGTTCACCTGAAAAAATATATCCAGCCCTCCTTCTTTCATCTTCTTTTCATGAAAAATGCCTTTCGATCCCGCTTCAACAAAGGCCCTGTGCCCACAGGTCAAGCCGACCACAAGGCATTGTCAGACGGATGACGGATTTTTGAATGTCACAAGGAGTTGCTTGATGCCGACTGCGACTTTTGGCACGTTGGTGTCCGTGAGCTTTTTTAGATTTACATCGTCTCACTTCGGATTCCTTACGTAAAAGGCGCCGCGGTGATATCAAAAGTGGCTGTATGGCAAATATCAATTTATATCCGTTCATGAACAGTGAGTCCATAGATTTCTGGCTGGATGCTCCCTCAGTGATTTGCACTTCCTTATGAAAAAGCGTATAGGCGCACAAAGCGCCCGTCAGCCCATCCATTCTGGATGTTCTGGACTCGAAGACACTAAATTAGCAACACACCAAAGTCGATCAACGCAAATGCTGCCCAGTCTCAGTTCAAAAGACTATCAAGAGCTGCTCATGACGTTTGCCACTCCCCCTGGGAAATCTGTCAAAATACTTTAGAGAACACTGCTGATCTTGCTCAGCTTGACTTTGACAGGGATGCGCATAGCAAGATCGCGTGCCCTTTGGTGCCATTGCAATGCAGCTTGCTGTCCTGTTGCGGCAAGTCAACGTTCTGCAGACGCGGGGAAACTTCTCTGCATGAAGCATCTTGAATAAATAGTTGGCGTCAATTGGCCCGGACTTCAGCTGTTGCAAGGCCTGATGCACCGTTGCCGCGCATAAGAATTAAACATGCCACTTATACGCACGAACACCATCAGCCCTATCAATACGAAACAACACGTTCATACCACCCATTCGGTGGCTTCTCGATATATCCAAGACGCACTCAGAAACAACGACGTTCAACAATCCAAGAAGACTTTCACACCTTTGTCACCTTCGGCGAAATTCGGCGAATTCTAGTCAATCTGCTTTGCATTTCACTCATTGTGTTCGGGGCTCATGATTTTCAATGATTTTCAATGATCTTCAATGATTTTCATGCTACGAGTTACATATGTTACATGAAGTCAGCACGGGAATGTAATGGAATGTAGGGATGCCCAAAGCGCCCACAAGTGAGCGAGAAATAGCGAGCACCTTCGTGGATCATGTGGATCTGCCGAAAATCAATCAGTGCACTGAGTGCACTGAGTCATTGGCCGTTGTGATATCCGTTGTGATATCCGTTGTGATCCGTTGTGATTAGCATCTGTCAGATGGTGAAAGGATTGAAAGGGCCAAACAAAACGTAGCTCGTCTAATTAAGCACTTTCTCCACTGTTCATGTCGAAACTGAGTTAGGGCTAACAGTTAGGGGCCAAAATAGTTCCATTACATTTCTGCGGTCTCAGCTTATTTCTGGAAAACCTATCTCCAATCTTCTCCTGCAATGGAGACATGGCAGCACGGAGCGTATGTTTATTCACCGTGGAAGCAGTTCACTTTTAGATGGGGAATATCTTGCAGTTTCGAAGGGTCTTTACCAAGAAGCAGTTGCCAAAACGTTCAAGGTACAATGAACTCTTGTCACTTGAGGCTCTGCAAGTGCTTGGCAAGTGCTTGTCAAGTGCTTGGCATGCTGGATCGTGCTGGATCGTGCTGGATCGTTGATCTGCAAACTTGCCTGATCGTGGATAGCTTGGAGGCGCTTTGAAGTGTTTATACAAGGCAGGTGGGCTAGGCAACATAAGTCGCATAATTGGTAGAGGCTTCTGCCTTTGCCAACTGCGGTGTCAAGCGTGCGATCTGATGCAAGCTTGACTCTCTTTGGATGCCTGTAGCTGGCTTGAATTTGAGTTTGTTTGAAACATCTATAACAAATTGAAATTCACAAACAGAGTTCGAGCAGGGCTGGGACCAACCAAGGCTAGTGCACGATCCTGTCGCACCAAAGATGGTCACTTGCAAGTACAACCTTTAAGCGCACCCCAGGTTAGACAATACAATACCTTTGCATAATTTCCTAGTCAAGTTTACCAAAGAAGATGGGGTGCTAAGTGGAATCTACATGGATTTTGTTTGAAGTTGGCCCGCTTACGCTGGGCCAACCGGGTTGGAATGACTGGGTGTGCTTCAAAAAAGCAGGGGGTTCTGGATTTTGCTGTCGTTTTTCAATGCAGGCTAAAGTAGAGGCCGGGCCTCGAGAATTACCGTTATCGGTCCCAAATTTAGCCAGGCAGGAGATAAAGCTTAAACAACGAGAGTGTCCAAGGAGGATTGCTCCTAGCTACGGCCCAGTTAAAGTGACATGTGCCGCTCACCAATCGTGTGCAGGGAAGGCTTTCACATTTCTGCACTTCGCAGCTTCGTTCCCTGCCACTTATACTTATCCAAGGTCTTGAGTGTCCAGATTGAGATGCATTTGACATCTTTAGAGGACGCAGCAGTGTTGCATGTGCATCTCAATCCATCGCCAGCTGGTCTGCTGCCAATACGTCACATGCCACAATATGGCAGGAACCGAATTAGCATGATTTAGCATGCGCTAGTAGTATCTAGTAGTCCTGAAGAAGCACGGCGTGGGTAAATCATGACATGCCTTGGTGGGAGTGCAATTTCGGGCCCGCCTCCTGCACACGTCTGGTGTCTCGACTGTCTTGAGACTCTGTCACAGTGGCAGGCCGCCATATGCTGCAATGGCCAACACAACTGATCAAAATGGGCAAACAATGCTGGCTGCAGCTTCAACTCACCCGAGTCTAAAATGCTCAGCTATAATTATGTGGCTCAATGAAAAGCACCACAGCCCTGTCATCATTTTCACTCAGAGACGCATGGATCTGACCGACCCCGTTGCATGGTCTGCATTCTGAGGATTCGCATTCTGTCATAGATGTCATAGATCTTGCCCGCTGGCAAGAACTCCAAGGTGGGTGCGCAAAATCCGAGAGGTCACAGAAACTCCGCACCTCCAAGACGCATCAGTCTGAAGATGCTCTGTGAACACCTGCGCTTGGGGAAATAATCACTAGCAGTTCCAAAGCACGTGAGATTACTTATGGACACATATCATATATACATTATATACATGATATTGGGGCCTGATAATTATTCATGAATATCCCGACAAACAGACTACAAACAGTATCTATCTATATATATATATACACAAGCATATCCTGGCTAATGTCAAGCGATTTTGATGTGCAGAAGCAGCAACTTCTCGCCAGCCCAAACTTCTTCAGGCTTACATTTTCCAGAGCAAGTAGCGTAAGTAGCTTCATTCTCTCTCTCTCTCTATAACATGTCCGTCGTCGCACTTCGCACCTCTCCGACCTTTGGGGTCCAATCTTTGACTGCGCGTTTTGGACCTCAGACCTTGCCAAATGGCAACAGAATGGTTCTAGGATCTTACCGAACATCTGCACAAGTCCAATGCAATCTGTCCATTTCCAACTTGTCACAATGTGTTCCATAAGCACATATAAGTTAAGATCACACAAGATCAAATAAGTAATTGCATCTTGAAAGTATCACGCCATGCCAACTCTTGCCTTTGTAGTGAAGAAACCACACGTGTTTTGGATAAACTATGGGAGCAAGGAACATATAAGTACATCAAGTAATCATCAAGTACCGTTTCACACCGAGTCAGAACGCATCAGCATCCTTGCATCGCACTTGAGGCTCAGGACAAACTGGGGACCCCACTGCAGGGACAATGGGAACATCTGCTAAGCAGAGCCGACTGGCGCCGAAGGCATCCCACTGCACATGGCTCACACCGGATGGAGCTGTCATCGCCCATTTTTGCGAAGCACGGGACCCTCTTCTTTAAATGTCGTCGGCATATCAACCTTAAACGCAGCCGGAAGATTCAGAGCATGTCAGAGCTGCTGACCTGCAGCCTGTCTGTAGCTAGGAAACCCAGATTCTGGAGTGCAGCTGTCTTAAGATACACCCCGGTCCAGGGGGATATGAATGGAAACTACACTCTGAGACCTCAAGCCAAAACTGCCAAGTGAAGAGTGAAGACAAGACAGGCTTTGGAAGGGGGAGGTCAGTGCTATGTCCTTGCCCACGCCTGGCATTGCGCAGCCAGAAAGTCAGGTAACCGACAGAAATGACCAAAGAAAGGAGTCAAATGAAAGGAACGAAAAGGACACATGGCAGACTTGATCGTGCACCGCCGTCAAGAAGTGCACATTGTCCTTAACTGTACGCATGGAAGGGCGGTTCCACGCGGACCATGCTTTGAACACACTTTTCCCAAGGCCCTAAGGCACGAGGGTGAAACATGGTGAAACAACTTTGTACAAGCACGACCATATGTCATGAGTCGGCATGGGTCACGAGACTGGTTGGATCTGGTTGGCAATGGTTGGCTGGACTTTCAGCCAAGGGAGGGGTCATTCTGGGTCAGGCCATGTCAGGCCCTTTGAGACACTTGGTGCACACGGCAGCGCTCAGCCAAACATGCCAAAAACCCCATCGTTTTGCTCAGGCTTGGGCGGCTTCTTCTTTTTCTGCGCCAAGCACACGACGGAATGCTGCACCCCTACACCGGACTCTGATATATATGATGACTAATTACTGATGACATGTCAATGTACCTACATGGCCCACATCCATTATATCAATATCTTAAGATATCTTAAGTACAAACGCACTTTCGTATAGGCATGTCATGGCAACGATGAGAGCCCTGAAAGTTCTCTAAGGCCGAAGGAACGACGGTGCTGTGCTGCACATTCAGGCCCTACTCACATTCAAGTCCTTCCCACTGTAATTACTGTAGTTTAAGAATCTCACCCGAGCACCAAAGCAGACCCAATAAGGTTCAACTACAAGCTTCGCAAAGCTAATGAGCTCATGTTTCAAATGATGAATTTATACGCTGACCTTCACAGGTACCCAAAATTTGTGATTTTTTACGTAGAATTCAATTTGTGACTGAAATTGCCGCGTTAAACAGACCATCCAAAACATGTCCTTTATTCGAAAGGTAAACAGAAATTCCCAAACACAATTTCTTGGCTGGCTGGGCGATCTCCATTTGCAAAGCGCGCAGGAATCTGAATGCGAAAAAACATTTAAAACAATGTGCAGATTGCAAACACACAAATGTGCAACGCGCGGCGCGCGCGCAGATTCCGCAACAAAGGTCCAAAGAGGGTGATGTGCGCATAAGCTTGCACATTTTCAGCGCACATGTTCCAAATTTCAAGAGTCGTGAGTCGTGCTGAAATTTGCTGAATATTACCCTTGTGCTACAAATGAAGGCTCTGGTATTTCTACAATATCTTTTAATGACACTATATAAATCTATATAATAATAAGTTAGTTATCATTGCTACAGTTCCTTTGCTAATTTCTCTAATCATCACCTTTCCAGCCTTGTCTTTGACGAATGCCAGCTGCAATGGCCTGGTCTCATCAAGCAGCTTTTTCAGCTTCTCCTGCGTCACAAGCGTCACAAGATGTCACAAGCATCACAAGCACAATATTGCAGTGTACTGCCCCCAACCCCACTATGCCATACCATGCCATACCATGCCATACCATGCCATACCATGCCATACCCAAATGTGTGAATTCAGTCCTTGCTCATCTTGGCAACATCTTTGCCACCGGCTTTGTCTAAACGGAGACCAACCTCAACCTGTTTCAGCCCAAACATATTCAAAACTTGTGTGCCAAAATAAGCTGATCATGTGTCATATTAATGTCATATTCATATGCCATATTTTGGCATCACCGAAGGATTGTTTGAAGGCTCTTTGGCCATTATGACTCTGATGCATACATCTTGATGAGTTTCGTTGGCATTTTCTGCACCGTATCTCAAGACCGAGCCTGACTCATTTCTGCCCAGCTACCTCCTTCAACCTCAGCGGCATAAGTAGTATGGCATAGTTATAGACAGGAAATGACAGGCATATGAACAGCGTGCGCGGATGTTCGCGGTTGGTTGTGCAAGTCACATCTTGCAAAATGCTCGTAATTTTAATTGCCCGCATCTCTCTCTCTCTCTCTTGAGGTGGCATATGCTGGGTTGGGTCAGACCTGATTGCGAAAGATTCCTGGTTCAGCTGATTCAGCATGTTTCACTCAGTCTGGTGCCTTTGTGACGTAGCACGGATTTGGTGGCCAATCAACTTTGAAACCCAAGCGGGTGTCCATTGCACCAGCAAAAGCGGTGAGGGGCCTCATGTCAGGGGGCAGGACCTTTGAACAAATGCATGCGCACGAAACGCACGTAGCATCACATGTACCAGTAATTACATACAGGATGATACAGAAAAGAAATGGAAAGAAACAATGAAATCAAATATGAATGAAATACAAAACAGTTACTAGAGTCTGCTAGATTTTATTAATTGCAGCAGCAAATGCGCGGCACATGTAGCCGAGCCATGTGTAGGGCCCGAGCGGCGGTTCCTCTTTGACCTTTTCCTTTTCTGCCTTTTCCTTCGGATCTTTGGTTTCTTTTTCTTTTGCTTTCTCTTTTGGTTTATCTTTCTCCTTGGTTTTCTCAGTTTTCTCCTTTTCCTTCTCTTTTGTCTTCTCACTTTGCTTTGCCTTGCCATCCTTGGCATCCTTTTTGTCTTTTCCTTCTGCCTTCTTATCTTTGGATTCTTTAGCGCTTTTCTTGTCCTTTGACTCTTTGGCACTCTTCTTGTCATTAGGTTTGGAGGGTTTGCCCCAATCATCGTCATCATCATCGTCCCAGCCATCCTCTTCTGCAGCCTGCCCACAATAGATGACGAGACAAGAAACAAGCCAGTCCAACAGGCCAAGGGTTTGAATGATGGGATAGACATACATTTCCAAACATAAGGTTTAATTTAGTGTGCACTCTTCTCCGGGAACCTCTTCTCCTCACTCCCTCTTTTTTTCCCTCTCTCTCTCTCTAATCATCTCTGTGTCGACTTCCAGTTGTCAAAGGAAATGAGCCAGGCCTCTTGTTGAGAGCCTCTTGGGGACTTGCCTTTCCTTAGATAGGGTTTGGGAATGTGCTGCAGGATGGCAAAATGGGAAGAAAGAACTTAATTTCTGCGAGGAACGTGGGAACGTCGACACGACAGAATCCTCAACCCCTGTGACTAAGGTGGGACAGCTATACAGCTGCTCCAGTAATTCTGGCTTTTAAGGAGGGGCTGGCCGCCAAAAAAGTATGTGAATTGCTGCTGCATTGTGAAACCGCAAACCATTGCAGCTGAGACTCGCTTCCTGAGCTAGTGGGTTCAATCCCTCCGGCAGAATTGCAGCCAAAGACTTTCTGGCTTCATTAGCCGCTTGAGTCACCGCTTGAGTAAGCTGGTCTGGAGCGTCAGCAGGTGGCTTCTGCGATTTTCTTTGCTTTGCTGTGGATGAGGCTGGTACTGAGGCAGACGCGGATGGAGCAGGGGCAGCAGGCGTAGCAGGTGCGGCAGGTGAGGATGGTGTCTCCTGAAGGACCCGTTGAAAAACGAGATGCAAAGGCCGATCACGCATCGCACGCTTTGTCTCTTTAGCTGCCATATCCTGCACTTGGCGCTGCCCAATCTCAATCAGCTCATCCCCAACTTCGATGCCCTGCTGAGCTGCCCAAGACCCAGCTGTCACAGTCGTGATGATCATGGCATCTGGCGGAAATGCGGAGGGATATAAGCCAAGATCTTGAATACCCTCTGGTGCAGTGCATTCGAATGTCTCCAAGTCCTCCATGGATTCCTCTAGTGTTCCTAAGGTTTGCCGCGAAATTGTCAGTCTCAGAGGGCGTTCCCTCATTGCCCGCTTCATCTCCTTTTTATCCATCGCTTCCACCAGTGTCCCATTGATTTTGAGCAAAATGTCTCCTTGCTGAACTCCCATGGTAGCTGCCCATGAGCCATCTGTCACAGATGCAATTTCAACAGGATCTGGGGCAAAGGCGGTCGGCATCAAACCAAGTTCTTTGACATCCTCTCCAGCTTCGCAATCAAAAATCTCGACCTCCTCTTCCGGCTCCTCTTCCACGTCCTCATCTTCCATCAGTGCCTATGCATGTGTCGGAGCATGGAAGGAGGCACAAGGAGGCACAGTTCTTTGAACACATCTCGAATCATCTCGAAGTTTTGGAGAAATGGTGAGTTTGCAAATCCAGTGACAGTTGATCCATCACTGTAAAGAATGTTCCGGAACTAGATGATGCCGACATGAAATACACACAACATCACATGACATAACCCTACAACCGGCATCAACTGGCCGAGTCAGCACAAACACAATCAAAACGCCCAAGCCTCTTCCACACCCTGGACACTCTCCGCAACATCGTCCACTGGCGGCTCCTGCAAAGCACAAAGAAAATTGTCATGTGACTGTAGCCAACGCCAAATCGGCATCACAAAATATGACCTGCTGGTGCTTGTGATGTAACACCGGTTCTTCTTTTTTTGTGTTGTTTCTCTTCTTGTTCTCGTTGTTGTTCTTATTGTTGAGGTTGTGGTCACCGCTGTCCCATTTGCTGTGGTCATCGTCAGCACTGACTGTTGGTGCTTATCCCTCCTGTTCCTGCGGTACCTTTATGCACGTTATTGATCGAACCCAGCCTTTCTGCAACACCTTCCTCACTACTTCTGCGGCCCATGGTGGCACGACAGTCCGTTTTTTTAAAGATATGTTTCCGCATTTTTTTCTGTGGAGCGAATCTGCACTTCCGTGAGTACATGTTTCCAGTATGCATTGCATTGTGGAGCTTGTGGTTGCGACATGGCTTTGCAATGTTCTCTTCCATCTGTCGCCTAGCAAAACATTGATACTGTTATCTAGGCTGCCAAGTTCCCGCAGCTTGTGCAATGAGACATTCGACTGACCATTTTAAGATATTTCAAGCTACTCAGCTACTGTACACAGTCTTTCTGGCTAAGGGCTCAAGGAAAGCAAAAACATGACACCTTGACAAGTATATAGGCAAATGCTTTCCAAGGAAACGGGATCGCACATCGCATTGCAGTGGAATGAAGTACGTGAAGCGGATGTATCATGTGAAGAATGCTGCAGAACAAAATGATGCAGAACTTGCGAACATGTTTCAACTGATTTATACTGATTAAACAGCAACGCAAGCCGGGCAGGACCTGTGATTTCTGTGATCCTCTTTTATTTTTTTTCACAGGAGCAGGGGAAGTCTCGGCAACCTCTTCGTCTTCTTGCGGTTCTTCTTCCTCTGTTGCTTCAGAATGAGAGTCGGCATGCACGCATTTCACAGGAACCAAACTGCTCTAAAAATGCTCTAAAAATGCTCTAAAGCAGGAATCCCAAAGGAACCAACATGAACCAACTCTGACATACGCATGCATGGACAGACATTGACTGTACTCGGAACATGCTCCAGAAATTTCCTCTGTCTGTACTGTTATCTAGTCTGCCAAGTTCCCGCAGCTTGTGCAATGAGACATTCTATTGATCATCTTAAGATTTTTAAGATATTTCAAGCTACTCAGCTACACAGTTTCTCTGCCTAAGGGAAGCAAAAAACACATCACCTTGGCAAATGTAGCGACACGTTGGATGATCTTGGGATGCCTCTGCAGCTTCTGGTGCTTCAAGCTCTGCAGTTGAATCCTTCTGCCCCTGTCATGAGTACTCAAGAAGCTATGGGCTATGGTTACATGACAAAAAAGCAACTGTTTTCCAAGGAAACGGGATTGCACATCGCATTGCAGTGGAATGAAGTACGTGAAGCGGATGTATCATGTGAAGAATGCTGCAGAACAAAATGATGCAGAACTTGCGAACATGTTTCAACTGATTTATACTGATTAAACAGCAACGCAAGCCGGGCAGGACCTGTGATTTCTGTGATCCTCTTTTATCTTTTTTCACAGGAGCAGGGGAAGTCTCGGCAACCTCTTCGTCTTCTTGCGGTTCTTCTTCCTCTGTTGCTTCAGAACGAGAGTCGGCATGCACGCATTTCACAGGAACCAAACTGCTCTAAAAATGCTCCAAAAATGCTCTAAAGCAGGAATCCCAAAGGAACCAACATGAACCAACTCTGACATAAGCATGCATGGACAGACATTGACTGTACTCGGAACATGCTCCAGAAATTTCCTCTGTCTGTACTGTTATCTAGTCTGCCAAGTTCCCGCAGTTTGTGCAATGAGACATTCTATTGATCATCTTAAGATTTTTAAGATATTTCAAGCTACTCAGCTACACAGTTTCTCTGCCTAAGGGAAGCAAAAAAAACACATCACCTTGGCAAATGTAGCGACACGTTGGATGATCTTGGGATGCCTCTGCAGCTTCTGGTGCTTCAAGCTCTGCAGTTGAATCCTTCTGCCCCTGTCATGAGTACTCAAGAAGCTATGGGCTATGGTTACATGACAAAAAAGCAACTGTTTTCCAAGGAAACGGGATTGCACATCGCATTGCAGTGGAATGAAGTACGTGAAGCGGATGTATCATGTGAAGAATGCTGCAGAACAAAATGATGCAGAACTTGCGAACATGTTTCAACTGATTTATACTGATTAAACAGCAACGCAAGCCGGGCAGGACCTGTGATTTCTGTGATCCTCTTTTATTTTTTTTCACAGGAGCAGGGGAAGTCTCGGCAACCTCTTCGTCTTCTTGCGGTTCTTCTTCCTCTGTTGCTTCAGAATGAGAGTCGGCATGCACGCATTTCACAGGAACCAAACTGCTCTAAAAATGCTCTAAAGCAGGAATCCCAAAGGAACCAACATGAACCAACTCTGACATAAGCATGCATGGACAGACATTGACTGTACTCGGAACATGCTCCAGAAATTTCCTCTGTCTGTACTGTTATCTAGTCTGCCAAGTTCCCGCAGCTTGTGCAATGAGACATTCGATTGATCATTTTAAGATATTTCAAGCTACTTAGCTACACAGTTTTTCTGCCTAAGGGAAGCAAAAAACACATCACCTTGGCAAATGTAGCGACACGTTGGATGATCTTGGGATGCCTCTGCAGCTTCTGGTGCTTCAAGCTCTGCAGTTGAATCCTTCTGCCCCTGTCATGAGTACTCAAGAAGCTATGGGCTATGGTTACATGACAAAAAAGCAACTGTTTTCCAAGGAAACGGGATTGCACATCGCATTGCAGTGGAATGAAGTACGTGAAGCGGATGTATCATGTGAAGAATGCTGCAGAACAAAATGATGCAGAACTTGCGAACATGTTTCAACTGATTTATACTGATTAAACAGCAACGCAAGCCGGGCAGGACCTGTGATTTCTGTGATCCTCTTTTATCTTTTTTCACAGGAGCAGGGGAAGTCTCGGCAACCTCTTCGTCTTCTTGCGGTTCTTCTTCCTCTGTTGCTTCAGAACGAGAGTCGGCATGCACGCATTTCACAGGAACCAAACTGCTCTAAAAATGCTCTAAAGCAGGAATCCCAAAGGAACCAACATGAACCAACTCTGACATAAGCATGCATGGACAGACATTGACTGTACTCGGAGCATGCTCCAGAAATTTCCTCTGTCTGTACTGTTATCTAGTCTGCCAAGTTCCCGCAGCTTGTGCAATGAGACATTCGATTGATCATTTTAAGATATTTCAAGCTACTTAGCTACACAGTTTTTCTCGCTAAGGGCCTCAGGGAAGCAACAAAATTACACCTTGACATCACCTTGGCAAATGTAGCAACACGTTGGATGATCTTGGGATGCCTCTGCAGCTTCTGGTGCTTCAAGCTCTGCAGTTGACTCCTTCTGTCCCTGTCACAAGTACGAAATCACCCACTATAGGCCTATAGGCTTATATAGGTGCCTCGTTTTCAACATTTTTCATCATTTTTTCACGAATCAGGGGTGTGCACACCACCTTGCAGTGGATTACTAAAGTGGACGAGATAGTGGATATTGAAGGTGAACAATCACAGAACATCAATATATAACCATGAAGTATATACAGGATCTCAAAAAGTTTTAAGTTCTGCAGCAACACAGGCCGGGGGTGACCTGTGATCCTTTTTTCGCAGCAGCTGGCGAGGGCTCAGCAACCTCCTCATCTTCTTCTTGTTCTTCTTCTTCTGGCTGTTCCTTCAGAATGAACATTTCAAGGCCCTCCCCACTAGGATCGAGAAAGCATTCTCGTGTTTCCAAGCGGAAGTCCAAAAGTAAAGAGGGATGATGCACTGTCACGACAGCGATTTTGTCCACCAAGTTTCATATCCTTGTGCAATTGCATTGGCATGCATTGGCATGCATTGGCATGCATTGGCGATGTCTGATTTGTTTGTTCGATCCCTACCTAATTATTTTACGTCTAAAACCACTCAACTGTGCTGGCTAACACACCAGAAATGGTGAAACATGTTCCGAAGTTTCGATGATCTTGCGACGCCTCTTCAACTTCTGGTTCTTCAAAGTCTGCCATCAAATCCTGCCAAAGGATTAGTATGACAAGCCTCCACTGTTTCAACAGATCATGGATTTGCAAATCACATCGAAGTCTCGCCGTGAAGAATCTTGCAGAACGTTGCCAAAATGAATCAAAATACATATAATTAATGAATGATGGAACATGCTCAATATTTTGCAATATTTCATTGTTTAATAGCAACACATGCTGGGTATGACCTGCAAAGCCTCGTTCACAGCAGCTGGAAAGGTCTCAGCCACGTCTTCTGGTTGTTCCTGCGCATGCCAGTCAAACTTTCAAACTTGATGGGTTGAGTGCACGTTGTTTGATCATAGTTTCCAAGTCCAGATCCATGATTACTAAGGCATATATGAACACATAATATCAAATTGGTATTGACATAAATTGACCACTTCGACACAAAATACAACACAAAACAAAAACATATTGTCATGTCATGGCAGCGCCATCTAATTAGTCCGCCGGGTTCTTTTCTTCATGCAATCGGATAGACCACATGGTTTTGGTGGCTGCATCTAAGTGCTAATGTGATGGCAATATATGGCAACCAGACTTTTGGGGCTTGACTTGTGTCAAGTGCAGCGCGCCTTTTACAGCGCATTGTTTGAGCCAATCGGCGTCCAAATCGGCCGCTGGCATATGAACTGCATCCACATGTTTTTGAATCCCAAATGCTACGAGTATGTGTCCATGTCAATCGTGGTTTCATCCTTGTTTTCACATTCCTTTTCTTTTGTTAGGATCAAACTCACATGGTGCCGCTCATCAAAAGATCCAAGCCGGCATGCTGCATGCTTCATCCCTTTTGTTGAGGGGTCGGCCAGCATCCTATCCGTAGTCGTCCAATGAAGAGCCGTGGTCGCTCCATCAGGCACACGGTCCGTGATCTTGTCCGTGACGACATGTAGGCCACTCTGGAACAATGACTTGCAGTCCGTGAAGCAATCCACGTAGATCTCGTCCATGGCATCGGTCGTCCTATTGGCTCGATGAACATTCGGGTCCTTGATGCCGTAGAAGACAAAGCGAAGATGATCAGCCTCTTCGCTCCCCAAGAGCAGACTCAGCGTCTCTGCCTGCAGTGTGGAGCGGCTTACATGTTTCAACGCCGTGCTGTGCCAGCCAAAATCATTCAAGCAGCACCAAGACTCCTCCCATCTTCTCCTTGAAGTCTCTGGAAGCCATGCACAGCAACCTCCCTGATTGGCTCCTGTGCCCTAACTTCACACCACTTCCGCTCATGTCGAAGTCAGCTGCATGCGAGGCATCTTGCATGGCGATGATCATCGCGTCCTCGAACTTCAGGACATTGCTCGGATAGGTGATGCCCTTGTTGGGATCGCGCTCGGCCAGCTCCACAATCTTGTTGGCATACTTCACGTCGTTGATGTTGGCAGTGTGCGCGGAAGACTGGAGCTTGCACACTGCATAAGAAAGGTCTGGCCTGCAAACTCTTGCAAGCCATGCCAAGCTTCCGATCACGCCGCGCAATCGGCCACGCAGCTTCTCACTCACGGGCATCTCTGGCTGCTTCTTCTCCTCAGGCGTCAGATGAATCATGGATCGTCCTCACTCGATCCATCAAACTCGGGCATGTGATGTGCACTTCTCTCTCATCCTTCAGCACCTCACGGCCGCAGTAGGTGAACTTGTTGACAGAGACCTTGCCAAAGTTGTACTTGGCCTGAATGGCGTCCATCTTCTTCTCGTATTCTCCTCCAGTCCATAGCAGGTTGTCCACATGGACAGTGACCAATCCAGCCAAGCTCCCATCTGGATGGTGAAGAACGTAGGGCGCTGGTTCGTAGGGCAACGGCGCAAAGTCTTCGATCCAGGTTCTTGAACCATCATCTCGGTGCGTCCTTGGTCCCATAGGCTGCGCTTCCGACCAGGTAAACACACGGACAACTTGCAGGGCACCTCCGCTCAATCCGTCGAACAGCTTCAGCCAGCCCCAAAGGGCCTTGTTTCTTCTTCTCTGTCTCATCCATCTTGCTGAACCGCGCCTCAAGCAGCCTCACGCGGAACGCATACTCAGCCAAGGTCGTAGGATCTCCATCGCAGCGAGGTACGCCAGCTCGTACACCATCGCTCATCGGCAAAGCATCAGATGTAGAGGCTGATGCAAAGGCCTGATAGGTCAGGCACTCCAGCGCAGACATGGCGCCGGGCGGCGGGCACAAACCCAGAGTGAAAAGAGAATGCCCCTTAGATCATCTAAGTCCAAGCCGCACCAGGGCTCCCAAGAGCCGATGCTCCGCTGCCAATGTGATGGCAGCCAGACTTTTGGGGTTTGACTTGCGTCAGGTGCAGCGCGCCTTTTACAGCGCATTGCTTGAGCCAATCGGCGTCCAAGTCGGCCGCTGGCATATGAACTGCATCCACTTGCGTTTGAATCCCAACTGCTATGTCTCCATGTCAACCGTGGTTTCACCCTTGTTTTCACACTAAATTTTCTGGCTAGAAGAACTACACCCGCGAAATCATTAAGTTGGATGATCTTATAGGATTATAGGATGCCTCTGCAGTTTCTTCTGGTGCTTCAACCTCCGCAGTTGGATCCTTCCGCCCCTGTCACAAGTACGGGATCGCCTATAGGCCTATAGGCAACATTCTTCATCATTTTTTTACAAATCAGGGGTGCGCACACCACCTTGCAGTGGATTACTGAAGTGGACGAGATAGTGGATATTGAAGGTGAACAACCACAGAATAACAATGAAGCTCAATGAAGTAGAGGACACCAGAAAGATCAGAAAGTCTTAAGCTCTGCAGCAACACAGGCCGGGGATGACCTGTGATCCTTTTTTCGCAGCAGCTGGCGAGGGCTCAGCAACCTCCTCATCTTCTTCTTGTTCTTCTTCTTCTGGCTGTTCCTTCAGAATGAACATCTCAAGGCCCTCCCCACTAGGATCGAGAAAGCATTCTCGTGTTTCCAAGCGGAAGTCCAAAAGTAAAGAGGGATGATGAACTGTCAAGACAGCGATTTTGTCCACCAAGTTTCATATCCTTGTGCAATTGCATTGGCATGCATTGGCATGCATTGGCGATGTCTGATTTGTTTGTTCGATCCCTACCTAATTATCTTACGTCTAAAACCACTCAACTGTGCTGGCTAACACACCAGAAATGGTGAAACATGTTCCGAAGCTTCGATGATCTTGCGATGCCTCTTCAACTTCTGGTTCTTCAAAGTCTGCCATCAAATCCTGCCAAAGGATGAGTATGACAAGCCTCCACTGTTTCAACAGATCATGGATTTGCAAATCACATCGAAGTCTCGCCGTGAAGAATCTTGCAGAACGTTGCCAAAATGAATCAAAATACATATAATTAATAAATGATGGAACATGCTCAATATTTTGCAATATTTCATTGTTTAATAGCAACACATGCTGGGTATGACCTGCAAAGCCTCGTTCACAGCAGCTGGAAAGGTCTCAGCCACGTCTTCTGGTTGTTCCTGCGAATGCCAGTCAAACTTTCAAACTTGATGGGTTGAGTGCACGTTGTTTGATCATAGTTTCCAAGTCCAGATCCATGATTACTAAGGCATATATGAAAACATATCAAACTGATATTGACATAAATTGACCACTTCGACACAAAATAAAACAAAACAAAAACATATTGTCATGTCATGGCGGCGCCATCTAATTAGTCCGTCGAGTTCTTTCCTTCATGCAATCGGATAGACCACATGGTTTTGGTGGCTGCATCTAAGTGCTATAAATTTTCTGGCTAGAAGAACTACACCCGCGAAACCATTAAGTTGGATGATCTTATAGGATTATAGGATGCCTCTGCAGTTTCTTCTGGTGCTTCAACCTCCGCAGTTGGATCCTTCCGCCCCTGTCACAAGTACGGGATCGCCTATAGGCCTATAGGCAACATTCTTCATCATTTTTTCACAAATCAGGGGTGCGCACACCACCTTGCAGTGGATTACTGAAGTGGACGAGATAGTGGATATTGAAGGTGAACAACCACAGAATAACAATGAAGCTCAATGAAGTAGAGGATCCCAGAAAGATCAGAAAGTCTTAAGCTCTGCAGCAACACAGGCCGGGGGTTACCTGTGATCCTTTTTTCGCAGCAGCTGGCGAAGGCTCATCTTCTTCGTGTTCTTCTCCTTCTGGCTGTTCCTTCAGAATGAATATTGGCATGTGTTGGCGATGTTTAATCATCTGGTCCGCTAAGTTCCGTCCTATCATAGAAGTCAAACTTCCGACAGTATGGACAGATGAAAAAGCAGAGGTGGGAAGAGTCAGAGAAGAGAAGAGAAGATGAGAAGAGAAGAGAAGAGAAGAGAAGAGCAGAGAAGAGAAAGACTCAGAAGAAAGACGATGCAGGTGCGCGACAAGGTAGAAAAGTCGCGATTCACTCTGTTTTTCCAATGATGTGTGGCTCCGGAGGGTCGAAAAGTAGGCTCGCTAAAGCGGCGGGTGCGGAGCCATCTGGCCAGATGAGAGATGAAAAATTGCATGCCGTTGGCACAGCACAAAGATGCACAAAGCACATTACGAAGTCAAAGTGTACAAAATACGTCAGCTTCGGAGCGCTTTTAGGAATTGAGATGTGGAAAAAGTTCACGCTGTTGTGGCGCGAATCACATTTCGAAGTCAAAAGTGTTAAAAACTGGTGGTCTCGGACCACTTTTGGGAGTTGAGATGTTGTACAAAGCACAGCAGATTCGGAGCACTTTTTGAAGTTGAGATGTCGAAAAAGGGCGCGAAGCACATTTCCAAGTCAAAAGTGTTAAAAGCTGACGGTCTCGGACCACTTTTCGACGTTCAGATGTCGTTTCGCAGGGCAGGCGCAAGGGATTGTGCACCTTGTCAAAAATGAGGAAAACGTGAGGGTTTTGAAGCAGTTTCAGAAACGATGGCAGGTGTGGGACTCTGGAAATATGGCGCAGTACAAGAGACATGTTCATCAGAGATGTTAGGAGGCCAGGGCGCTGATTTCATAGGGGCTGTATTTTGGAGCATCAGATATTCAGATTTGCTAAGACGATTTTGCGTGACAGGTGCAGCACTTCGTATGACGTGGCCTCACTGTTTCGTGGCGGACACAATACTTTAGACACATGGACTGGAAAAATCGCAAAACGCACTGGTACGAGGCCGTCAGCTCTGCACTCAACTTTCCATTTTTGAAGGAAGTCTCGCAGAATTGCTTCGTTTTTAATGTGGCATTTGGAAATTGAAGAAGTCTCGCAGAACTGTTTCGTTTTTGACGTTGTCAAGTTCAAAAATTGAAGATGTCTCGCAGACTTGCCGCGTTTTTCACATGTTGTCAAGTTCAAAAACTGAGAGGTTCTCGCAGAATGGCTTCGTTTTCAAGCTTGCAGATAGATAGATAGATAGATAGATCGATCGATCGATCGATCGATACATAGATACATAGATACATAGATACATAGATAGACAAACAACTACTACCACAACTACAACTACCACTACACTACACCACCACTACACACAATCTCACAATCTCACCTGCACTAAACTACTTACACTGCACCACACCACAACCACAACTGCAAATGCAACTACACTACATTACACTGCATTACACTACATTACACTACATTATATAACACTACACTACACTAATTACATTACGCTACATTACGTTACATTACGTTACATTACGTCACGTTACATTACGTTACATTACGCTACAGCTACTACAACAACAACAACAGCAACAACAACAACAACAACCACCAAGACCACAACAACAACAACAACAACAACAACGACTCCTCCTCCTGCTGCTGCTGCTGCAACTACAACCACAACTACCACTACATCACACTACACTACACTACGCTACAACTACGTACAACTACACTACTTTACCCTACACTACTTTACATTCCACTACAATAGACTACACTACACCAGACTACACTACACTAAATCACACTAGAGTACACAACACTACAGTACACTACACTACACTAATTACACCACACCACAATTACAACTGCAACTACACTAACTATACTAACTACACTAACTACACTAACTATATAACTACACTAACTACACTAACTACACTACATACTTACTACAACTCCACTAATTACACTACACTACAACTACAACTACAACTGCACTAAACCACATTACATCCAGCAGTTGTGGTGAGGTGACCACTGCAACCGTTGCAACCACTCTAAAAATGGAAAACTCCAACCACCTTTCGGTCCGTCAGTGGATTCGCTCTGCCATCCATGCATCACAACAACTCACCTTTCCTATAGTGTCCTATCTTTAAAACTTCCGACACCGCCTTCGGCGGTACTACTGGTAATATGTATCTGAATCTTGCAGACCAAAGCATGCCTCTGCAGCTGCAGGTGCTTCCATCTTCACACTGGGCTCCTTCTGCACCTATCAAAATTTTGGAAAAATTGGAGCCATGCTTGCTTGACAAATCACATGAAAGCAGAATAGATTGGACGTATAGTAGCAGATTGTAGAAATGATGCGAAAATGTGGGATGCTCGACAGGAACACAAGCGGAGTTGGACCTTGGAAGCTTTCTTCGCAGCAGCTGGAAGTACTTCCGCAACTTCTTGCGGCTGTTCCTGTAAACTAAACACACTTTTCAGGACCCGTCTTGAGGACCCAGATTGCTTTCGTAAGGCTTCCAAGTTCCACATGGAAATCCCAAAGTGACCAACATGTGATCAACATTGACTTTGATTATTTCGAACTATGCCAAGTTGGCAAAACAAATCCATGACATACAAATGTCCATCTATGGCGTTATCACATTGATCATCTGGTCTGCAAGGCTCGGTCAAATCTGTTGCACAATGATGCATCATGTCGCATACCAAAGCATGCCTCTGCAGCTGCCGGTGCTTCCATCTTCACACTGGGCTCCTTCTGCACCTATCAAAATTTTGGAAAAATTGGAGCCATGCTTGCTCGACAAATCACATGAAAGCAGAATAGATTGGACGTATCGCAGCAGATTGTAGAAATGATGAGAACCGGGATGCTCGACAGGAACACAAGCGGAGTTGGACCTTGGAAGCTTTCTTCGCAGCAGCTGGAAGTACTTCCGCAACTTCTTGCGGCTGTTCCTGTGCACTAAACACACTTCAGGACCTGTCTTGAGAGGACCCACATTGCTTTCGTGTCTTGAGAGGACCCACATTGCTTTCGTAAGGCTTTCAAGTTCCAGATGGTGGAAAACATATTCTGAAATCAAAATTGGAAAACACCAAATGTTCGGACAACTCTTGGATGTTCAAACGGGATTTCTTCGTGGCAAGTGGAATCGATTCCCCACGTTGCGAAAAACGAACTACCAGTTTCAAAAACAAGGGCAGGCGTGGAATGTGAGAAGAGGATCCGAGGGGAGGTCAGGGGGCAGATTCCTGAGAGGAGGCCGGTGCCGTGTACCAAACATATGAGCCAGACATGTTCGTACCAAGGCAAAACACATATGAGTCAGACATGTTCGTGCGACCTGGCTGGGTTTTTTCGTTCCACACGCAATATGTGTTTTAAAGAGATCGAGGCTCTGAGCTCAGCACTCAGCACTCAGCTATAATTTTCGCAGAAATTTCTCAAAATGGCTTTGTTTTTCAGTTTTTCATGTTGCCAAAGAACATCCCAAAGTGTTCAACATGTGATCAACATTGACTTTGATAATTTCGAACTATGCCAAGTTGGCAAAACAAATCCATGACATACAAATGTCCATCTATGGCGTTATCACATTGATCATCTGGTCTGCAAGGCTCGGTCAAATCTGTTGCACAATGATGCATCATGTCGCATACCAAAGCATGCCTCTGCAGCTGTAGGTGCTTCCATCTTCACACTGGGCTCCTTCTGCACCTATCAAAATTTTGAAAAAATGCAGCCATGCTTGCTCGACAAATCACATGAAAGCAGAATAGATTGGACGTATAGTAGCAGATTGTGGAAATGATGCGAAAATGCGGGATGCTCGACAGGAACACAAGCGGAGTTGGACCTTGGAAGCTTTCTTCGCAGCAGCTGGAAGTACTTCCGCAACTTCCTGTGGCTGTTCCTGTGCACTAAACACACTTCAGGACCTGTCTTGAGAGGACCCACATTGCTTTCGTAAGGCTTTCAAGTTCCAGATGGTGGAAAACATATTCTGAAATCAAAATTGGAAAACACCAAATGTTCGGACAACTCTTGGATGTTCAAACGGGATTTCTTCGTGGCAAGTGGAATCGATTCCCCACGTTGCGAAAAACGAACTACCAGTTTCAAAAACAAGGGCAGGCGTGGAATGTGAGAAGAGGATCCGAGGGGAGGTCAGGGGGCAGATTCCTGAGAGGAGGCCGGTGCCGTGTACCAAACATATGAGCCAGACATGTTCGTACCAAGGCAAAACACATATGAGTCAGACATGTTCGTGCGACCTGGCTGGGTTTTTTCGTTCCACACGCAATATGTGTTTTAAAGAGATCGAGGCTCTGAGCTCAGCACTCAGCACTCAGCTATAATTTTCGCAGAAATTTCTCAAAATGGTTTTGTTTTTCAGTTTTTCATGTTGCCAAAGAACATCCCAAAGTGTTCAACATGTGATCAACATTGACTTTGATTATTTCGAACTATGCCAAGTTGGCAAAACAAATCCATGACATACAAATGTCCATCTATGGCGTTATCACATTGATCATCTGGTCTGCAAGGCTCGGTCAAATCTGTTGCACAATGATGCATCATGTGGCATACCAAAGCATGCCTCTGCAGCTGTAGGTGCTTCCATCTTCACACTGGGCTCCTTCTGCACCTATCAAAATTTTGAAAAAAATGCAGCCATGCTTGCTCGACAAATCACATGAAAGCAGAATAGATTGGACGTATAGTAGCAGATTGTGGAAATGATGCGAAAATGCGGGATGTCGAAGGAACACAAGCGGAGTTGGACCTTGGAAGCTTTCTTCGCAGCAGCTGGAAGTACTTCCGCAACTTCCTGTGGCTGTTCCTGTACACTAAACACAGTTCAGAACCCGTCTTGAGAGGACCCAGATTGCTTTCGTAAGGCTTCCAAGTTCCAGATGGAAATCCCAAAGTGACCAACATGTGACCAACATGTGATCAACATTGACTTTGATCCTATTTCGATCTATGCCAAGTTGGCAGAAATCCATGACATACAATGACAATCTGTGGCGTTATCACATTGATCATCTGGTCTGCAAGGCTCGGTCAAATCTGTTGTAGAATGATGCATCATGTCGCATACCAAAGCATGCCTCGGCAGCTGCCGGTGCTTCCATCTTCACACTGGGCTCCTTCTGCACCTATCAAAATTTTGGAAAAATTGGAGCCATGCTTGCTTGACAAATCACATGAAAGCAGAATAGATTGGACGTATAGTAGCAGATTGTAGAAATGATGCGAAAATGTGGGATGCTCGACAGGAACACAAGCGGAGTTGGACCTTGGAAGCTTTCTTCGCAGCAGCTGGAAGTACTTCCGCAGCTTCTTGCGGCTCTTCCTGTACACTAAACACACTTCAAGACCCATCTTGAGAGGACCCAGGTTGCTTTTATTTGCTTTCCTAAGGCTTCCAAGTTCCAGATGGAAATCCCAAAGTGATCAACATCGACTTTGATTCTATTTCGAACTATGCCAAGTTGGCAAAAAAATCCATGACATACAATGACAATCTATGGCACTATCACATTGATCATCTGGCCTGCAAGGCTCGGTCAAATCTGTTGCACAATGATGCATCATGTCGCATACCAAAGCATGCCTCTGCAGCTGTAGTTGCTTCCATCTTGACACTGGGCTCCTTCTGCACCTTAAGAAACATAGGAGCCATGCTTGCTTGACAAATCACATGAAAGCAGAATAGATTGGACGTATAGCAGCAGATTGTAGAAATGATGAGAACCTGGATGCTCGACAGCAACACAAGCGGAGTTGGACCTTGGAAGCCTTCTTCGCAGCAGCTGGAAGTACTTCTGCAACTTCTTGCGGCTGTTCCTGTACACTAAAGGGGTGCGCATTTTGTTTCGGATTTTTTTTTGTTGTTTTTTTTTTGGTCGTCCAGGCTCCCTTCTTTGGTTTTTGAAACTAAAATCACTCATTTGTTGCATTTTGTAGCTAAAATCTCTCATTCGCATTGTTCATCAATTTTTCGACTGGTTTCAGGTTTTTTTTTCAATGGTTTCTATCGAGTTTTCCATCGTTTTCATTGGTTTGTCCATGATTTGTATGGTTGTCTTCAGTTTTTCCATGGTTTTCTTCATTTTTACCATAGTTTTCTTCAATTGTCCATGGTTTTCTTCAATTGTCTCATGGTTTTCTTCAATTTTTCCATGGTTTTCTTCAATTTGTCCATAGTTTTCTTCAATTTGTCCATAGTTTTCTTCAATTTTTCCATGGTTTTCTTCAATTTTTCTATGGTTTTCTTCAATTGTTCTATGGTTTTCTTCGGTTGTTCCATGGTTTTCTTCCATTTTTCAATGGTTTTCTTCATTTTTTCTATGTTTTTCTTCAATTTGTGCATGGTGTTCATTCAGTTTTCACTTGTTTTCATTTCTGGTTCCAAAGTTTTTCATTGATTTTTACTTAGTTTTTATTGTTTTTTTTGAAGTTTTCATTTATTTTTGGAAATACACGATGTGCAAACTACAAATTGTAGATGTAAAAAGGTATATATGCATGACTAATCATGACTATATGTATATGTAGATCAGTGCGTTTACACGTGTATTTAATATATATATATATGCAGGGTTTGGTTTAGGGTTTATTTAGGGTTGGCTTAATGGTTTCTTCTGGATTTGTTTAGGGTTGGGTTAGGGGTTATTTAGGGATACAATATGTACATACACATAGCTATAATTACGTGATTATTTCTAGTTTATTTTGGGATCAAAGCTGTGTATAAATGTATGTGTATTTATACATATATATATATACTTATAGATACATACTTATATATATATATATACATTTATATCTATATACAAATTTATATATATAAGTACATAAATACATATATATATATATAATATATATATAAGTGTGTATATAAGTGCAAATATATATATATATACAGAAATATATATATATATATATAAATATATATATATACAAATTTAAACATAAATATAAATATAGTGGAATCAAACTAGTGTATTGAAAAGTGTGCAAGTTTGACATACCAAAAATACCACCAAAAAACACGGAAAGGAAAAGCCAAAAGCCAAAAGCCAAGGAGCCAGGACCAAAAAAAAAAATCCGCCCCAGAAAAAGAAAAACAAAAACAAAAAAATGGCCCACCACACTAAAGTCACTAAACACACTTCAAGACCCGACTTGAGAGGACCCAGATTGCTTTCGTAAGGCTTCCAAGTTCCAGATGGAAATCCCAAAGTGACCAACACGTGATCAACATGTGATCAACATTGACTTCGATTCTATTTCGAACTATGCCAAGTTGGCAAAAAAAATCCATGACATACAATGACAATCTATGGCATAATCACATTGATCATCTCGTCTGCAAGCCTCGGTCAAATCTGTTGCACAATGATGCATCATGTCGCATACCAAAGCATGCCTCTGCAGCTGTAGGTGCTTCCATCTTGACACTGGGCTCCTTCTGCACCTTAAGAAACATAGGAGCCATGCTTGCTTGCTTGACAAATCACATGAAAGCAGAATAGATTGGACGTATAGTAGCAGATTGTGGAAATGATGCGAAAATGCGGGATGCTCGACAGGAACACAAGCGGAGTTGGACCTTGGAACCTTTCTTCGCAGCAGCTGGAAGTACTTCCGCAACTTCTTGCGGCTCTTCCTGTACACTAAACACACTTCAAGACCCGTCTTGAGAGGACCCAGGTTGCTTTTATTTGCTTTCGTAAGGCTTCCAAGTTCCAGATGGAAATCCCAAAGTGATCAACATTTATTTTGATTCTATTTCGAACTATGCCAAGTTGGCAAAAAAAATCCATGACATACAATGGCAATCTATGGCATTATCACATTGATCATCTGGTCTGCAAGGCTCGGTCAAATCTGTTGCACAATGATGCATCATGTCGCATCCCAAAGCATGCCTCTGCAGCTGTAGGTGCTTCCATCTTCACACTGGGCTCCTTCTGCACCTATCAAAATTTTGGAAAAATTGGAGCCATGCTTGCTCGACAAATCACATGCAAGCAGAATAGATTGGACGTATAGTAGCAGATTGTGGAAATGATGCGAAAATGCGGGATGCTCGACAGGAACACAAGCGGAGTTGGACCTTGGAACCTTTCTTCACAGCAGCTGGAAGTACTTCCGCAACTTCTTGCGGCTCTTCCTGTACACTAAACACACTTCAAGACCCGTCTTGAGAGGACCCAGGTTGCTTTCATTTGCTTTCGTAAGGCTTCCAAGTTCCAGATGGAAATCCCAAAGTGACCAACATGTGACCAACATGTGATCAACATTGACTTTGATTCTATTTCGAACTATGCCAAGTTGGCAAAAAAAAAACATGACATACAATGACAATCTATGGCATTATCACATTGATCATCTGGTCTGCCTGGAGTAGCTTTTACAGTTTACAGCAATGTTCTTTTCATCATGTGCTTTAACATCATCATTTCCTCGAATTTCAAATTTCAAAGCTTTGAAGTGCTCTGTGCGGAAACTGCTCTGCTCTCTCTTGAGTTCCAAGACGCATAAATATTTCACATGTGTGACACTTTGGCCTCCCAAACCCAACCTCCACAGCCTTCTGTTTTGGCAAATGCGATTTTTTCTGCTCCTAGTGAGGTGCAATCATTGCAACTAAATTTGCCATGGAACGATAGAGAAGGGCTTTAGATGATATATGATGATATCAAAGATTTTTCAAGTCAAGCCATTCTATCAGACGCTGATATGCTGACACACTCAATTCGGTGTTTTCGTATGTCCGGGTGACAAAGACTTTTGAGCCCAGGCGTCCGTAGCACCAGGGGAGGCAGTGAGGGGCATCATGCCAGGCAGCGACCTTGAAACAAACGGAGGGCAAATGAAATAAAACAGTCGGTCAAAGTCAAAGCTGCATTCATTTTTGCAGGGCACCCGCAGCTTGGGTATGACTTTTGGCAATGACGCTGACGACGCATTGCAACGACAGATTCCGGATCCTGGATAATCCCCGTCCCCCCTGACGACACATTGTGACGACACATTGCCTGCTGACGCATTGCCTGTTCGGGCCAGGCATGAGGAGTAAGGGCGCAGGCGTACGGTTGCATGTGAGAAGATAAATAGAGGAATGCAAATGGAGAAAGAGGAGCCGGAGGGCAGAAAGGGATTTGGTCTGATCACCAAGGCTTGGGCTATGTAGATATTTAAGGCGTAGAGGTAATGCAGGGGGTTGTTGGAAATTGGGAAATTGGGACATTTCGGCAGCTGGTAGGAAGGGGTTATGGTATCTCATGCTGGCACAGGATAATTAATCAAGATCGTGTGGCGCATTTTTGCAAACCTCAGTTGAAAATCCTTGGGGCAAGGATCAATCATTGAGTTGAAGTTTAATCTTCTTAGCTTCTTACCAAACCCGAACCAAGAGAGTGCCGGAGTGTTCCAGGAGAAAGCTTACAGCGTAGCATCCAGAGAGTAATTTGGAGATTCAACGAAAAAGTTAAGAGTGTAGCATTCAGAGCATGCTGGAGTTAGTGCGTAACATCAAGAGCGCGTTGGAAGTTCCAAGGCTAAAAGCATAGCACCAAAAACGTTTTCAACATCCCAAGAGCAAGTCAGGAGGCTAGCATCACAAGAACGCTGGTAGTTCCAAGAGGATGCCAAGAGCGTAGCACCAAGCTCCAAGAGAAAGCTAATTAAGCGAGTAGTACCAGGAGAGCGCGTTGAAGGACCAAGAAAAATACCTAAGAGTCTAGCATCCAGAGCGTGTTGGAGGCCAGAGTGTAGCATCCAGAGAATGCTGGAATGCTTGAGGAAAAGCAGCAACTAGAGCGTCCTGGCCTGCGTGGTCCAGAACAAAGCTAAAAGCGTAGCACCAAGAGCGTGACTGTCTCCAGACCGCAGCGTCAAGAGGCGGAGCGTAGCACCAACAAGAGCGCTGTGGAAGTTCCAAGAAAAAGTTAAGAGCGTATTATCACAATTGTGGTGGACCGTTGCGTCAAGAGCATCTGGAACTGTTCCAAGAGAAGGTTCAGCACGTAGCATCAAGAGAGTGTCGGAGCCGGAGCCAAGAACGTAGCATCAAGAGTGGGCCAAACTGGTCCAGGACAAAGCTAAGAGCGTAGCATCAAGAGCGTGTTGGAGTTTAATGCGTCACAAAAAGAAGCAAAAAAAAAAGCGCTCCAAGTAAAACCAAGAGCGTAGCGTCAAGAGCGTGCTGGCATGTCCCAGGACAAAGCAAAGAGAAAGTGTCGGAAAGCCCGCGAGAGTTAAGAGAATAAAAAACACCAAGAGCGTGCTGGAAGTTCCAATAGGAAGCCAAGAGCGTAGCATCAAGAGCATGTCGAGGCCAAGAGAACAGTATCAAGCGCTCGCCGGACTGTCCCAGGAGAAAGCTAAAGGCGTAGCAGCAAAGTCGGAAAACCCAAGAGTAAGCCAAAAGCATAGCAGCAAGAGTGTGTTGGAAAGCCCAAGGGATCCAAGATAAGCCAAGTGTTCGAACAGAGCAAGCCAGGAGGCTAGCATCAAGAGCATGTCGCTCGTTACTCTACCCTATCGTTCGTCTTCCCTTCTGTTCCGTACGTCGCTCGTTTCGTTTTAACTTCTTCTATCTTCTTCTCCTTCCATCCATTTTCAACTCTTACATCCGGTCCGTTTACCTGTTCCTTTCGTCTCGAGTCGTTCATTTCGTTACTTCTTTCCTTTCGTTTTCAGTCTTACATCCGGTTCGTTTACCTCTTCCTTTCCTTTCAGCAGGTCCATTTCATTGCATCCGTCCTTTCGTTGCAACTCTTCCCTTCCATTCGTTACTTCTTTCCTTTCGTTTCAACTCTTTTACATCCCCTTCATTACTTTTTCCCTTTCGTTTCAACTCCTCCCTTCTGTTCCCTATACGTTGTTCCTTTTGTTTTAAACTCTTCTCTTCCGTTTGATACTGCCTCCCATCCTTTTTCAACGCGTCCATCCTGTTCATTTACCTCTTCCTTTCATTTCAAGGCGTTCATTTCGTTATTTTCGTTATTTCCTGCCTTTCGTTTCAAGGTTTCAATCCCGTTCGTTTACCGTTTCAAGTCGTTCATTCCGTTACCTCCCTCCTGTCGCTTCAACTCTTCTTTCCTGTTCGTCTTGCTCTTCCTTTCCTTTCAACTCGTCCATTTCATTGCATCCGTCCTTTCGTTGCAACTCTTCCCTTCCATTCGTTACTTCCTTCGCCTTTTGCTTCAACTCTTTTTCATCCCGTTCGTTACCTTTTCCCTTTCGTTTCAACTCTTCGCTTCTGTTCCCTCTCCGTCGTTTCTTTCGTTTAAAACTTTAAACTCTTCTATCCTCTTCATGTACCTCTTCCTTTCGTTTCAAGGCGCTCGTTTCGCTACTTCCTTCCTTCATTTCAATTCTTACATGCAGTTCGTTTACCTCTTCCTTTCGTTTCAACTCTTCTTTCCTGTTCGTCTTGCTTTTCCTTTCCTTTCAACTCGTCCATTTTATTGCATCCGTCCTTTCCCGTTCCATTCGTTACTTCCTTCCTTTCGTTTCAAAACTTCCCACCCCTTCGTTTGCCTCTTCCTTTCGTTTCCAGTCGTTCATTTCATTTCATGATTCCTTCCGTTTCAACTCGAACATCCCGTGTCATCGCAGAGTTGAAAAAACTCGAGTGGCTGCAAGTGGCTGCTTTTTTGAATTTCAACTACCGCGCGTTTTGCAACAATGTTACAGTTTCTAATCCAGGCCTTGTTCGCCTTCCTCCTTGAAACCCAAGAAAATATGGATCTGATGGTCTGGGGGCTCCACAATATTCCTTTCATTGGCAATAGGGGTCGCCACACATCCCCGAGCCCACAAACACACCATCCGGCAGATTCCTACTTGTGGGTATCGCAACTTGCAGCTAAGCTGACTATATCTATATATCTGTTATATTTCAAGAATCTGGGTGTCTGTTCGAAACTTCTTTTGATAACGCGGTCTTTTTGGAATGTGGTAGAGGAAGGCAGGGAGCAGACTGACGCTTATACGGATGCCACGCAATTAATGCACAGTATAATGTGCGCACTGCAAGACTTGTCGTACTTGATGCCTTCGCACCACGCATTGTGCCTGCCATATCTTGTCATGAGCTTGCAGAAACATCAGAAACTCTGCCTGGGCAACCCCATCTTACATTTTCGAATGCTACACTCCTTTGTCGGGTCTGGTCTTCGGGAAAGAATTCGTCTTCGGGAGCCATTCGTCTTCGGCACGGAATTCGTCTTCGGGGGGCAATTTTCGTCTTCGGTGAATTCGTCTTCAGAATTCGTCTTCAGAATTCATCTTCGGGAAGTAATTCGTATTCGGGGAAATTCGTCTTCAGAATTCGTCTTCGGGGAGTTCGTCTTCGGGGAATTCGTCTTCGGAATCCGTCTTCGAAAAGGAATTCGTCTTCGGGGGGCAATTTTCGTCTTCGGTGAATTCGTCTTCAGAATTCGTATTCGGGGAAATTCGTCTTCAGAATTCGTCTTCGGGGAGTTCGTCTTCGGGTAATTCGTCTTCGGAATCCGTCTTCGAAAAGGAATTCGTCTTCGGGGGGCAATTCGTCTTCAGGGAATTCGTCTTCGTAATTCGTCTTCGTCTGCGGGTGGAAAAGTGATACCCGCGCAGCGGCCACAATGCATCTTTGCGTGTTGTAGATTATTGGGATGTTGAACACGTACCATGTTTTCTCCAAAGCCCCTGGGTTAATTTGAGGCACAAGACATCAAAAGTAGATGCAGTTTCCCGATTTTTTTGCGGTAGAAAAGCTGAGTTTCCTGTGTTGTTTATTGTTTTTTCCCCTCCCTCTGGGGCAATTTGACAAACAATCCCCAGAATTCATCGAATTGGAATGAATTGTGTTTTCTTTGGTTGTCCATTCTGTCTGCCTTTTTGGGTACGCATTCTGGAACCATGTCTATAGTGCATTTCAACTAAGAAATGAGCAGCAAGTCTAACGTAGACATTTGCTTCACTAGACATCGCATCAATGCATACAGCTTGTTGAATAAGCAGAAATACAGCACAACAAAGTAATTACATTCACAGATATTCACAGCACATGTGGCTCTCACTAGGGCCCAAGCTGCGATTCCTCTTTGGCGTTCTTTTTCTCTGTCTTTTCCTTTCTCTTGCTGGTCTCTTTCGTCTCTTCGGCTTCTTCTCCTTTTCCTTGCATTTTCTCCTGTGGCTCGTCCCTCTCCTTGGCGTTCTCCTTTTCTTTCTCTTTCGCCTTGTCCCTTGGTTTGGGCTTGCCATCCTTAGCATCTTTTTTCTCTTTCCCTTCTGCATTCTCATCTTTGGATTCCTTGATGCCCTTTTTGTCCTGTGAGTCTTTCGCGCTACTCTTGTCATTGCCTTTAGCAGGTCTGTTCCAGTCGTTCTCTTCATCGGACCAACCATGCTTTTCTGCAGCCTGCCAGCACAAACAAAGAGACAAGCAACACAGCATTTGAATCATAGGGTGGAAATGCCATTCCTCTCTCTCTCTCTCCCCTTGTTGCTCCCTCTCTCTCCGTGCATCTATCTCCAATAGTTTGCAAGAAACCGGGGCTGGCCTCTCTTTTGGAATCTCTTAGAGGCTTGCTACTCCTTTGGCTGGGTTCGTGAAAGCACGGCAGAATAACACATTGACTTAGTATAATTAGATATAATTAGTATAGAATATTATAGTAATAGAATATTCCCCGCTGTTGTGCAAGTCAATACTATCCTCACAGGACTTTAGAGTAGATGGCATATCTGCCCAAAGATTCTGAAACTGAGGAAACCTTGGAACTGGCCCTCAAGCAATGCATTTTTGAATTGAATTGAATCGAATTGAATGATGGAACTGGGTTCTGCATGGTTTTGTCCTGTAAAGCCAGAATCTACTGCCGCTGAGAGTCGCTTCCTGAGAGGCGTTCAATTTCTCCGGCAAAGCTGCCGAAGAATTTCTGGCTTCACTAGCCACTTGAGTCCACATTTCTGGGGCGTCAGGTGGCTGCAAGGCAGGAGCTGATGGGGCAGTGGCAGCCGGCGCAGGCGTGTCAGAGGCAGCAGGCTGCGAGTCGCCATCGCGGGTCTCGGCTTCCTCTTCCACAACTTCCACAACTTCCGCGTCCTCATGTTCTATGGATTCTTTGGCCCGCGGCCTCTATTTGCTTCTGGCAATAATTATCTAGCATCCCCCGACTGGCTTCATCATCCCTACCCTACCCTTCAAAAGGGGTGAGATGGGGGTGAGCTGTGTAACTTAACATGCTTTCACTCCAATCCACGCCCACGCAGCTGTAATATGTATGCGGCAGGACTTCGGGTATCTCACAGCAACCGATCTCCACTTTTAGTCATGTGAGCAATCTAGGAAACTCGAGGTTCACGAGAGTCACGGGAGGATATCACAAATTTGGGAAGGTCCCATCGCCTACCCGGCATTTGAACAAAACATGATGTATGTGGCAATTTTTGGGGACGTCTCTTAAACGAAGATGAAGTATGCGCACAGGTATGCACCGGTATAACATACAGTAATTGACATTGATATCACATAGCCTTCGAAGGAGGTATTACTATTTTCGAAGGACCCATCGCTTACATTCGCTTACCTCATGTTTGTCCAATTCTTGAAAACCCATCTCCATCCGTTTATATATTATATAATATGTGTGTGTGCGTGTGTGTGTTTCCTATTGCCAGAGTCTGGCTATGCACAAAGGCTGGGTGCCTCCGGGTCATGTAGCTTATGTTTTGCTGGGGCTCTCATGAGAGCTGTAGCCTGCATTCTGAACATTCCAATTCACAGGGTGTGGGGTACCTCGCGGTCATCTGGCTTACATTCCCGATGGGGTTGTGATTAGACTAATTATCAAACATTCAGCACAATTCCATGTGTAGCTCGACGGCAAGTTGTCACCCTGGAAGTTCCCCAATGCTTCTGCAAAGGAAACTGACAAAGAAAGTCATAAAAGGTGACGGGGTGTTGCTTTTCGCCGGCGTCTACTTCTCAGCCGAAGCTGCACCTGTGGGGAAATGGATCACCAGAATGATTCAGAACGCGGCGATTTTGAAATTGCTGTCTCTGGATGCGCTTCAATGTGTCTCAATCAAGCTTGTTTAGCGGATATCCATGGTCCATGGTAGACAAAAAACATCAAAAAAACATGTGCATGCTCAGTAGCTTCTTTCAATCTCCTTCATACAATTTCCAAGCTGAGGCCTCAAGGGCACGGTGAATCCTACAGTTACACTTCCCAAACAAAACGTTCAACGCGTCCTTCGCGTTCTTCGCCAATGAATCACTGCTGAGCTTTTCGGCAATGCGTCGCAGCACAGACAAGTGCCCTTCGCCACTGCTGCAGCCTTTCTCAGCATCTGCCAGCTCCAAACCTAACACTGGACTAGACATGGCGCATCATGGCGCGATCCATCCAATAATAATAGTCCTAAGTACGTATATTTAATAGAGATATGCTATGTGTAGTACTGTCTTGTATTGTATTGGCGTTGGTATTGGTATTCTATTCTATGTAGTTCTGCATATGTGTGTGTGTGTGTGTGCGGTTCTGTTATGAGTATGCATGCGTATGGATGCGTATGGATGTGTGTGGATGTATGTGTGGATGGATGTGTGGATGTATTAGGCATGTGTATCATGTGTATATATGTCTTTAATGTTGGGCTCTGATTAGTGTGGGGGGGCCCGGCCCCCCCCTCAACAATTTTAGTCTACTCAAAAACTCGGCATTTTCTGCGCCCCCTCCTCAACAATTTTTAGGATAGTCAACTTAAGTAAGGATTTCAATTGATATCAATCTACTTTCAATTGATTTTCTTTTTAAACCTCAAAGAAATCTGTTGATAAGAAAGGATTTCAATTAAAATATATTAAAATAAAATTGACTTTCAATTCATTTGAGTCTACTTTCAATTGGTTTTCCTTTTAAACCTCAAAGAAATCTATTGATAAGAAAGGCTTTCAATTGAAATCAATTTACTTTCAACTCATTTGAATCTACTTTCAATTGATCTTCCTTTTGAACCTCAAAGAAATCTGTTGGTAAGAAAGAATTTCAATTGAAATCAATGTCCTTTCAATTCATTTGAATCTACTTTCAATTGATCGTCCTTTTAAATCCCCAAACAATCGCCCCAAAGGTTTTTGTGCACAATAGGGTACCATCCAAACAATTACATTATTGAGAATTTGGGTCACTCATGGGGTACCCGGTTGAAAAATTGTTTGAGTGCTGTTATTAAATAAGGGTTTAATAAGGCATCTATTTTTTGGGGAAACCTTGCATTTTCAAGGCTTTAACATGGATATGGCTGTCTAAAGTAAATGGACCAGCTTTACCCAAAAAAAGGCGTACAAATGTGTTTTTTGTTTTATTCTCACCCCAACAGTTTTTATGCACAATAGGGTGCCATCCAAACAATTAATATTATTGAGGATCTGGGTCACTCATGGGGAGGCCCTTGAAGAATTGTTTTTGCGTTGTTTTTAAATAAGGATTTAATAAGGCATCTAATTATGTGGGAAACCGTGCATTTTCAAGGCTTTAACATGGATATGGCTTTCTAAAGTAAATGGACCAGCTTTACCCAAAGAAAGGTGGATAAAAGGTTTTTGTTTTTTTCACCCAAAAAGTTGTTGTGCACTCTAGGGTACTATCAATCTAATTACATTATTGAGGATCTGGGTCACTCATGGGGTACCCCCTTGAAGAATTGTTTTTGCGCTGTTTTTAAATAAGGGTTTAATAAGACATCTAATTATTTGGGAAACCGTGCATTTTCAAGGCTTTAACATGGATATTATGGCTTTCTAAAGTAAATGGACCAGGTATGCAAATAAAACAGGGCAATTAATTATGTTTTTCTTGGACCATGTTTTCCTCCTAAAAAAATTGGATCTGAGAAAAAACTTCTCACAATAGAGCCGTCCCCCTACAAACAGCAAGACGCTCAACTAGGAAGGAAAAACATCTCACAATAGGGTGCCATCACACTAATCGGAGGCTAACATTGTACATATGTATAATATCTGGGTGTATGTGATAATAATTGATAATATATATATATTAATATAAATATAATGTGTATATATATATATGTATATAATATACTGTGTCCCAAAAAGAGTTTGGCATCGATATGCATCAATGTAGTATAAATCCAACCTTGCGAGTCACAAATCTCGGTGTTCTTTTGTATCTTTTTGTTAGCTGAATACCAAGTGTCTTTGCATGTCCCTGCAGCTGAATACCAAGTTGCGAAGACGATTGACTTCCCGGTGACGCTCCAGCAATTCGTCCAAGCAAGAGGCGGCTTGCCGAGCAAGCCCCGCCTCCACAGCAAAGGGAATCAAGCAAGCCCCGCCTCCCCGCTCCATAGGCAAGTTTTCAAATGTCTTGAAACGGGATGAAAAGGGTTCAAGCAATTCAGTCGAATGAGAGCTTTGCCAATCTTGTCCCCTGCTCCAATTCCTAATGGATCCAATGAATTTCCAGTGGTTCAATTGATGAAACATGGCGAAGGCAGGTCACCATGGCCTCCTCATCGCGCGCCAAAGTAAGTTGCTGCCGTAGCTCATGATGCTTTCGCACCAGCTCCCTGCATCGCGAGGGAGGAACTGCAATAACTTCACTGTGTCAAATGTGTCAAAGCAAAAGTTTTTTTAATGCAAGGCAAGAAACGCAATGCCTAGACGCCATGACATGCCATGGTCCAGGCCATGGTTGGTATCACTGATGACATGTGACGACATGTGATGACCAGAGTGGATGTTGATTCCTTTTCCTGGTGTATTGGACTGGATTGTGATTAATTATATAACTATCGGTGATTCAGTATATTCAGTCATGGCTATTCGGTTGGATTCGGTGGGAGTCGGCTTATGTCGGCTCTGCTTTGTTTTTTCATGTTTTTTCCATTTTTTGGCCTTGCCATGCCTTGCCTGGAAGATCGAATTCGGGTTCTGAGCTCTGAGAGCTCATCCAGCTGTGCGAGATGAACGAGGCGCAACTGTTCCACCACAGCGCGTGGCAAACGTTCAACCCCGACCCTGTCCACCCCGTCAACCCGTGCCATAGCTCCGCCATGGCCGTTGTGGCCGTCGATGTGACTGCCAAGCATTGGGACAACATGGCTGCAGGGAAGAAAAAACATATCATTTCTTTTACCAGTGTCAAATGTGCAAAAACGTGTTGCATGCATAACCAAGCTGGAATGAGTCTGACGCCCCACTCTCTGGTTTGCCTCCTCAGATTCCTCAGTGCCGGCCCACCATTATCGCGCAGCGTCGTGCAGCTTCCAAGCAAGTTGGAAATGGATAGAAACGGCATCACAGTCGTGGTTTGTTTTACTCGCATCACACCTCTCAGGCTGAACAGCTCCATAGGAGCCTCAAGCCTTCCAAAAGCTGTAGGCCAGGGCAGGACTCTGGCAACCCGGGAAGCTCTGGCCGCGTTTTTCAAGGCGGCCACCAATTTGCCATGGCAGAATCTGGCAGATGCTGGTGCCAGGACAAACCGCAGGCCTCCCGGCTAGGATAACATTGTCCCTACTCCGCGGCTGTAAAGGTCTCGAATTTGTATATGCACTTGGACTGGTTTGATTGCTCTTGCTGCATTGAAACACGTTGAAACCATGCGATCATAGATGCGAAACATTGTGAAGATCTGTAAAATCTGAGCGAAAAAAATGTGAACATTGAACACTGATTAATATTGCAAGTGACCAAAGGCAAAGATTTTCGAGTGGGTTCTTAATTATATGACGCTTTTGCAGTCCACTCCAAGTAGCTGCAGATTCTGCACGTGCACTAGGTGTACCGACTCTTGGCCTTGGCCTTTGGCCCCCCTTCAGACATTATTCGCTCTCCTCAGCTTTCGAAAGATTTGGATTTTCATTTCTTTGAATTCTCGAAGAGCTTTGCACTTTACACGTTTTCAAGCATTCGCAGAAAATTGAAGTGTATAGTTTCTCGCCAATCTACCCGCAAAAACAATGCATATAGAAAAACAATGAACTGCACACACTGCGAGCTCGCCCAAATTGCAGAGCTACATTTCATTCATGCCTAGCCACAAATTTCTAAAAATGCCACACATAAATTTGCACTGAGCTCGTCACGCGCCGGGCTGGCGGGGCTGTCTGGGGTAGAGGCGCCGGTCCTTTGCAGGTCTTACTGGACGGATTCCCTGCTCACAAAAATGTAGCATCATGAGTGTCCAGGTACAGTGCTGCAAGCCAGTACT